TGATTCTAAACACTCTTCTATAAAAAAGTTATTTTTGATGCTTATCGTCTCTAAATTGAGTAGCTTGGATCTACGGGCGTTACAAATTCATTGTACGTCCAATTCTTGTAAAATATTTAATTCTCAATTTAGTCATTTTTGTATAGAAACTCGACGAGTTGGAGGCCCCAAACTCGTCGAGTATAGATGGATTTGGATGTAGGTTGTGAAGTCTACTCGACGAGTCGAGGATCCTTAACTTGACGAGTAGGACTGACATAATGAAACCCTAATTTTCAGGGTTTTGCACTCTATTTAAACATCTTAACCTCCATAAGTTGGCCTCATTTACAGCCTCCATTGTCCCAAGCCCTAGCCACAAAACCCTAATCCACTTTTGAGAGTTTTGAGCCATTTTTGTGCATCCTTTGTGATTTTGAAGAAGAAGATTCTTGAAGAAGGAGCAAGGACGTGTAGGAGGAGAATAGATCTAGAAGTTGAGCTTCATTTCTGGTTCATCTAATGTATAAAGCTCCTATCTTGTCTATAGAATGTTTAGATCTAGTTTTATGATGTTTTCTCCATATTTTGGACCAAGAATGTTGATATTTGGAACTTGGACGTCCCATGTGGGCAAATGTCACACCCCCAAACCAAGGATGGCGGAAACATCCGGGGGTGGAGGACTTCATGTATAATATCATAACCACAATTGCAATAGTAATTTAAGCAAACACAACCAACATATATATAATTGAAAGAGTTACATTATTGTATGAATTACATGTTTCCAAATCAATTACAATATGTTGACAAAATATGAAATGTTGACACCTTAACATCCCATCCTCAAAATGCACTTGATTACCTGTTTAGTGATTTCCTGAGAATAAAAGTTGTTTAAAAAATGTCAACACAAAGGTTGGTGAGTTCATAAGCTTTTGTTTTGTATTGATAAAAGCCTCTCTCTTGTAAATGTAATGTTTGTTCCAGAAAAATCCGATATTTTCCTTAAAATGTGTAATGTAATCTTATATCCAAAGACCGAAATGTACAAGTAACCTTTCTTACGTATAGAAAATATTGTAAGGTTGAATCGACATAAACACGTTAGATTTCAATGAAATTCTCGTAAATTCCTATGTTTGTTAATACTTTCTGTGAGTTATTATAACCATGCTACGACCTAGTTGGCCTGAAACGACGTTCTTCAGGCGTCGGAAATGTTATGACATTTGTCACCCCAGACCTGCCGGTCTAACTGTTGCATGCAGTTAAGGTGTAGGTTTGTCAAACCCAATATAGATCTATATACAACTATCACGCTCTCCTTCCAGGAGTCTCTGGTTACAATACATGACTTATTGGTAAATGTGAAGCGAATGTTTCACAAAGTCATTAACGAATTTACGTGTAATGTAATGAAAATCCCTTTTTGTATAAATGTACCCTTTGTGTATGAGTGTATTATATAATGTATCGTAAAATATACCCATTATAGTTTATCAAAACAAGGGTAATAGTGGTAATGTACGTAAACTATATTTAACATAGTTTATTCAAATGTTTGTATGAAATGGATGTACTTTGATTATAACAATTTGTTATCTTTTATATATGTATAAAAAAATCCATTTATTAACTGATGCATGTCTATATACCAAGACAAAATGTCATTTATTTGCAATAACATATATTCACATAAAGATGTACACCTTGCTCGACATGTTACAAGGTGAAATAACATTGTTAGTATTTTTCTGTTATTAACAGATTCCATTACTGTTCTTAGAAAATTTATAGAAAATTCATAATAGATCCAAATCAGAATCTGTAAATTCTGGGAGTTTGGATAATGAGTCTAGTTTGTTCATAAATTTTCCCATGATTTTTAGTGACGTCCAACTTAGGTGCAAACGTCCATAATCACAGACCGGTTCGGATTGGTTCTTGAAATGATAGGCAGTTTTGTAAAAATCACCATAAATTGTAGAAAAATCGTATGGAGATGTGAAAGTAACCATTTTAAAGCTGAGAACTGGAAATACTTGTAACTAAAACAGTTTTGAAAACTAAAATGTTTAAGATGACCAACACAGTCCGTGTATGGAGCCCAACTTTTCTGATGAAAGTTGTTAGAAGAGCTTAATGGTGTTCTTGGTGTTTTAACTTGTATTCCCCCCTTAAAACTTAAGAAAACATAAAAATGCAGGGGTATGAACTCACCCTGTGTGATTTCAGTGGATGAGTGTTGGAGAAGAGAAATGTTCAACTCAAGAACACTTGAAGAATTTCTTGAAGATTCGAGAATCTAACATTATTATGATGGAGTTAGTGTAAGAAATCTATGATTTGAGTAAAAGGAAGTGTAATGACCATATGAAGGGTGATGATTCTTACCAAATGTAGAGAAAAGCTTGAAAAATGCCTTGGAAATCTCAAAATTGTGAGAGAGAATTTGAGAGGAAAGATGTGTGTGATCTTTGGTGGAGAAATGAGAAAATGAAGGGATAATGAGGAGAGAGAGAGGTTGTCTAACTCTTAGGATGTGATTATGAGTGGGAAAAGTACCCTTGAATGACTAGGCATGGTGGGGAGGGGTGTGGGTTAGTCATGGAGTGGGTGTGAGTAGTTGCTTGTGTCATAAACTAAAGTGAAGTCAACACTCCACCTCAAGATCTTACATTAATAGATTTTATTCTTAAATAAGGATTTTCCTAAAACTATGATGAATTTATGGGGTCTTATATGTCAAAATTTGAGTTTGGGTGAAAATCCCCCGTTAAAATAATTAAAAACGGACTTAAAACTGAGTCGTGGCTGAAAATCGGGTAAAAAGGTGGGAAAACCGAAGTCTGGGCGAGGTCTCGGCCTCAGCAGCCTAGAACCGGAATGGCTGGGGTTGCTGGTGCGGATCTGAGGGAGAAGGGGCTGCGGTCCGAGGGAGGGCACCGCGGGCGGTTCGACAGCATGGTCCGGAGCGAGGTCTGATGCGGCTTGGTGACTGCGGCCCGGAGACTGCGGCTCGGAGGCTTCGGCCAGACGGCTGCGGCTACCTAAGAGCCTCGATTCAGGCTGCTTCCGGTCTAAGAAGGTTCGGCCTCTAAGAGGCTTCGGCCCTATGAAGGGGTTTCGGGTCTTTTAGGTTATTTTCTCCGTTCTAGCCCCGTTTTAAGCGATTTTTGACCTGGTTAAGGGTCGGGTTGACCCGAATGATTTCAAAAAGTTACTGGAACTTTTGAGAGAGATTTGGGAGAGATTTCAAATAGAAAGAGATAGAGTGAAAACGATTGAGAGAGGTTTCGTTTGTGACCTTTTTGAGTGTTCGGCTTCGCAATGCAAGGTCCTTAAACCCCGTTAAGCCATGTTTTAATGTCCTACACACTTCCGATGAGTGTGCAATAGTGTTTGTCTCTTTGGTTAATTGTTTGGCACTATCAAGGCTAAGGAAAATTAAATGCGCGAATTTTCCGATTGATGTCTTCTCATTAAAATAGCGAGTTGTTTAGTAATTACATAACGTGAACCCTAATATACAAAGGTTAATTAAGTCGTCCGGTTTAACTTGTTGACTTTGACTTGACCCGAAATTGACTATTGTCACATCAAACCTTTTAGATCTAGGGTCTATATGGGACTTCATGGCATAAATATGCCAACTTTATGACCATGGAAGTCCCATGCAACTTGTGGACCATCTTGTTGGCCTTTTGAGCCAAGTATTCTATGCATGCAAGTAAAGATAGGAACTTTATGTGACCAAACTGTCCCTAGAGTCCAGATCTATGATCCTATGGCTTATCTTGAAGTTTTGATGGTTTTTGAAGTTAAAACAAAGCCATTTTGAGCTAGGGTTAGGGCTCATTTCTTCTAGGATGGGTCTTAATGGGTAAAGTTAGAAACTTTACCCTCCTAGATATGTTTTCGACTCAGGTTTGGAATATGGGACTTAAACTCGAAGAATAATGGCCTAACACATTAAGAAAGCTTATTAGGATGAAGAACTCGACGAGTTCATAGAGGAACTCGACGAGTTGAGTCGAAATGCCTCGATTCTATAAAAAGAGGGCTCGACGAGTTGGGTGGGAAAGTCCTGATTCTGTGGATAGGAGGAACTCGACGAGTTCATTAAAGAACTCGACGAGTTGGATCGCGATTTCAGAGTTTTATGATTTATGGAACTCGGGGAGTTGAGTCAACCTAGAATGTTGACTTTGACCAGGGTGTTGACCTTGATTTTGACTTTGACCAAAGTTGGCCCTTAAGGGGTCATGAGTATAAAATGGTAATTAAGGAAATCTTTTATATATAGGAGTTTAAAAATTCAAACTATTTTAGCAATTTATATTTCATATTTAGTTATCTAAAATTTTGGGTTGACAATCATATGGATTTTTTTTGGTATGGGTGTGTTCGACAAACTAGTTAAAAAATTAGTTCTTAGTTACTATAAGCTATCTATAAAAACAAAAATTCTTAAAATTTAATTATCTATAAAATTAACACAATAGGATAGCTAAGTAGGGTCTATACACTTATTCCCCACACAAGAAAATCACTATCAAGATCTCAACAAAGTCTACTTACTCTGAAATTCCGTTTATATGGAAGAGACCAAGAGTTTTTTTATGTAAACATCAAGTTTGAAAAACTACAATTGGTTGTCTAGTAACATGAGTCTAATGGCTGCAGAATGAAATTTCATCCAAAATATTGATAGTGTTTTACGATTGAATTACTACTTGAGCCGTTTAGATGGTACAATTTACCATTTTTTTTACAATTGACATGAAACTTCAACCCAAATTTGATGTGAATGAATAGTACACCATATTGTTGTTATACTCATAAGAGTTTTATACCAAAAAGGGTGTTAACTAAAAAATGGTATTTGGTAGGAGATGCCCTAAAAGATACAAATACAGAATAATGTCTAACCTGTAAGCACAGAAAAGTCAGTACCAAAAATCAATGTTTCAAAAATGATAGAGCCAATAATGAAGAAATAAGGAAGAGAAAACGGTTGAAAGAAGCACATTCCTTTAAAATGTGATACATGCATTAAAAATAGTCTTGTTGTAAAGGTAACAACACACGCATCATCTATCAGATTCAATATAATTCATAACACAGATACATATTTTTCCATATCTACAATTGATGTGAGCTACAGAGCCTACAACAAATGTTGGAATTTGTGAGGTGAAATTCAATATAGGTCTAGGGACTCAAGCACCCTGCGAGCTTGGATGTGAAGAGCTGTGAGTCTTTGGTCTGGATCAAGTGTGGATCCAAACTGGCTTGCAGCCCAAATCAATGATGCAGATTTCTCTCCCAACAGACGCCTCACATCATCATGTATCCCTGCCATTGGTGCTCCTTCCCTCCCATTTACATGCCCAATCAGCAACAACAAGAACTCCCCACATTTCAGCCTATAACAACATACATAACTTTAATCCTCAATTGTTCATATACATCATATATATGACAGTTGACAAGCATACCTCAAATTCTCATCTATTTGTTTGTCCCCTATAATCAACGCAACTTCCTCAATGCCATTGCATTCCTCAAAATCCTGGTAGAATCGTTATATGAACTTGTTACTATTGCTAAACCATCAATCATCTATCTCAACTCTCAAGATAACATACCATTTGATTCACGGATGAGTCCAGCATTATTGAGATAAGAGCATCTAAGCATGCACCTTGCTCAAGTACTCCTCGTGTTGCTAATATGTTCATCAACACCTGCATGTGATGGAGTATTGGAATAAGCAAAGCTTCATGTGTTTTGTATCATTATTAAAGGTTCATGAGATTCCACCTGAATTGCCTTGAACTGATGGGCTAAAACAGTGCTCTCTTTGTGGAGCAGACAACATCCTTCCAAGACTCTTAGTGCTAGAGAAACTTCAGCATCAGTTGAAGGACTTTTTATCTTCAAGGGTTCAACACTGAAGATGTGATCCAAATTGCTCACTATCTGATCCTCACATTCTTGTAATGAGTATTGAAACAGAACTGGGACCACTATGGAGGATCAAAATAACACAAGACAGATTTTTAGTTACATTTTATCATACATTATACATACTACTGTAAAACCAATCAAAATAACCATATCAGATGGTATCGAAGCCCAAATTCATCCCAGGTCAACAAACAAGTAGGGAAAATGGAAATTTTTTAATTGATTTAATTCAATTATGGTTCCTTCCATCCTATCGATGACAGCTAGTATAGCAGATCGACATAAAAATCATTCAAGGTCAACTAACCAGATCATAAAAATAAGTAATTTTGGTAAACAAAGGAAATGGTTCTAACAGACGTGAAACAAGATAGGAAATAACTAGTAGTTGTCAAGCATGAACTAAAAATACAAACTCGAAACAGATTTTTTATTTCCAATGTCCTGATTTGAATATATATAATCCGTATGCTAAAATATGCGCCGGTAAAGTGGCATAGGGTACCTTGGAGATCGGGAATCGTTTGGGTGTGGCAGAAAAGATTGATGGTGGAATCAGAGGCCGCAACAGATCGAAGGAATTTGAGGATGTTGCGAAGGCCATGTAGTCGAAGGAACGAGAAATCGGAGCGTGCGTCACGGAGTCCGGTTCGTAGTGCGAGAGTTACCTCTCTGTAGAGTCTCTGATCGTCGAGTGAGCTCACAAGATCAGTCACCGGAGACGTCGTTTCCGACAGTTTATCACCACTCTGGGTTTCCGATTTCGGTACCTCGTTCCAAAACGCCTTCTTCAGGTACATCCCTCTCCGTCTCCCTCCCGTCTCTCTCGCTCTAGTCTCTCGGACCGACACAACACAGCTATGGCCTATGGGTATTTGAAATTCATGGGCTTAAACATGGGCCTTCTAATGGATTTACTTTAAACATTCATATGATATTAACCCCAATTGGCTAACATTCTCCACAAATAAAATAAAATATGTTTTATTTTCTTCTACAATAGGTTTCATCTTACATGAATAAATCAAATTTTTAAATAGAAAAACCGTTAAACACATCTTTAAAGTTGCTAAGTTAACATTATAATATTGTTACAGTTTGTTTTTTATTATACAGCAAATGCGATAATATTATAGCCATAGCATTTGACTTTAAATTATAAAATGCTATATTAGCTTTCTTTTAATTTATAGGGAAAAATACAGAAAAACCAACCATTTATCTATTAACATTCAGAAAAACCCTTATATTTATTTATATGCAGAAAAATCCTTACATTTTTTGTTACCTTTCAGATTTATAAAAATATCCATTTTTTTAAAACATTATCAGGTTGTTTTCTGACATAACATTTATCTTGTTCGGTTTTAGATTAACATGGAAAAAAATAAACAATATCACTTATGCTTGCTTGAGTAAACGGTCGTTGAGTAAATTATGTCTTTCTTACGTTTTACTTTAGAAAATAGGCAACTTCATTTATTTATGTTTCCTTGTTAACCTAAAAACAAAAATATATATATGTTATGTCCCAAAACAACTGGTAATTTCTTTAAAAAACTGAGTATTTTGGTTAATATGAATGATAATTAGAAATATAATGGTTTTTAAGCATACAAAAAAATACATGGGTTTTTATGAATGTTGATAGATAAATGTTTGTGCTTTTCTATATTTTGTTCTAAGATTTAAGACTTTTTTTTAAAATAATTTTGTCTTGTAACCTAACCTAATAAAACAAAAGGAAGGGACGGGAGGGGTACCAAATGTACTTAAGCCTAAGAGTGTTCGTTTGGATGGATGAGTTTGATTCGTTCCAATCAAGTAAAACCAAATTAATTTTGGTTTTCAAAATATGAACCCGAATAATCCAAATTAAATTCAAATCCGATCCGATCCGATCCAATTACAATTCGGTTGGATCGGTTTTTATAATTCGATTTTAAAAACAAAAACATTTTAGAGTGACATAATTATAATATTATCCAATTTTTATAGAAGAAGCAAAAAAAATTATTTAGTTGTGATTTAAAATTTATAAACAACTGCTAAAAATGTATATTATAGTTTAATATTTAATAGATAAAAAACTTGAAAATACATATTAATGTTTTTTATTAGATGGAACTTTTTGAACTAATTTGAAAAATAAATTATAAAATTAATAAATAGTTATAGTTATATTCAAAATAAATAAATAATAAATTTTTATTCGGTTTTTTTAAACTATTCAATTCATATTTTATAAACCAAAACCAATCCAAAATCTAAAATTCAAAAACAATACAAAAATCCAAATACCCATACCAAATAGTTAATGGTATAATCCAATATTCCAATTTGTATAATTAGACTATTTAGTTTTATCCAAGGTGAAAGTCTACTTAAGCCCAAAATGAGTCCACCGGGTAAAAATTAAATTAGGGCGCCAATTGATTTCCATTCGCAGATTTTCCCGCGAACTCTATTCCATATATACACACACAGTCACCTGACTCTATATCTTTCTATTACATTACATTCATTCACCCCTTCGAAACGATGGTGTCTGGGCCTAGAGCGGTTGCTAGAAGGAGGACCCAAGCTACGAATTCCAACAAATCTTCTTCCAGGGAAAGATCGAATGCAAAGAATAAAGATGACAACGACTACGACGACGCAAAATGTGAGGAATGTGGGTCAGGTGACTTTGGATCGGAGCTCCTATTGTGCGACCAATGTGACCGAGGGTTTCACTTATTCTGCCTCAGACCTATTCTTGCTTCTGTTCCGATCGGCTCCTGGTTCTGTCGTTCTTGTTCCACCAATCGGAAGACCATTTCAAGTACGTCTTTTTTCTTTTTCAATTTCAGTTGACCTGCATTTTGTCGCACTGCATGTTATGGTTTAGGTTTAAAATTTTTCGGCTTTACAGCTAAAGGGGTTTCTCTGTTGTAAAGTAATGAACTAATTCATCGATGCCGATTCATCCAATGCTCATTTTATACTGGTAGCTTAAAATGCAAGATCCCCAATTAAACCCTAGATCTAAGGACTTTGCCCCAGCTGTCTGATTCAAATAGTTTACAGTAATTTATTAATCGAGGGACGGTTAAACATTAATGGCTTGATAAATGTAATTACATCCTGTGTCATACATACACCGAGGCAATTGATTCGCTTGATTATATGTGATAGTCCAGGTTACCGATAGGGTAAAATCTCATTGTAAATTCTCGACTAGAAACAACCCCAAATTTCTAGGATACAAGCCTTTGAATTATATGCATTGCTGTCTGTGTACATCATGTTTAGTCCAGAAGTGATTGGTTCACCTTTAACAATGTCATTTCTTGTTCTGTACCCAGGATTCCCGTTGGTTCAAACAAAAATCATTGATTTTTTCCGCATCCAAAGGTCCTCTACATCAGGTGAAGAACTTTGTCAAGGTAGATAAGAGAGATCATTTATTGATGTTGTTTATGTTTTATTGGTTGATTAGAGAAAAAGATTGGTGAGAGTTGTTTTGTTATATGATTGTAGATATAGGAAAGAAAAGGAGGCGAAAAAGTTGCTTAATGGCATCAAAGAAGAGAAGGAGACTGTTACCATATAGTCCAATTGAGGATCCTGCAAGAAGACTAGAACAAATGGCATCACTAGCGACAGCGCTGACAGCTACAGGAGCTGAGTTCAGTAATGAGCTCACATATATTCATGGCATGGCTCCTAAGTCAGCTAATCGTCCTGCTTTTGAGAAAGAAGGGATGCAGGTTTTATCAAGAGAAGACACTGAGGCGTTGGATCTGTGCAAGAGCATGATGAGGAAAGGGGAATGCCCTCCACTTATGGTTGTTTTTGATCCTGTAGAAGGGTAAGTGGTTTTTTTTTTTTTTTTTTTTGCTTAAACCTTTCATGAGGCAGACGATTAATATATCATGTTATTGTTGCAGTTTCACTGTAGAAGCTGATAAATGTATCAAAGACTGGACAATAATCACCGAATATGTTGGAGATGTTGATTACTTAAAAAGCCGGGAAAATGATGATGGAGATAGCATCATGACTCTTATTTCTGCTGCTCATCCTTCAAAAAGTCTTGTCATTTGTCCTGACAAGCGCAGCAATATTGCTCGATTCATCAATGGCATTAACAATCACACCATGTAAGCTCTCTTTGCCTTGTGATATAAAGTATTAAAAGGGAATTTTACAAGTCGCAAATGTATATGTATTTATTGTTTGGTTCTGTTTGCAGAGAGGGGAGGAGGAAGCAGAATTTGAAGTGTGTGCGATATGATGTGGATGGTGAGGCGAGGGTATTGCTGGTAGCTAACAGGGATATTTCAAAGGGAGAAAGACTCTACTACGACTACAATGCATATGAACATGAGTACCCCACTGAGCATTTTGTATGACCCTTAACCCACACTGCTTTTACAAACCTTTTTGGAATTTTGAGATCCTTCAAATGTACAACCAAAGCATATTTGCTTATTTAAACAATACAGAATGCTTTCAACTTTTTGGCATGCTACATTGCTACTCATATTGCTTTTTTCTGGTAATTTGTTCCTTTGAAATGCTTTAAACATTATGCTGTTAGGATCAGCACTACTTTGAAGCTGTTGATGTCAGCACGTGATTTTTGTTTCTAACACAAACTCATTGTGTAATATTAATTATCAAATACACACTAACGATTTTGTAGTTGTTGGTTTACTTTAAAATAGTTTTACACAAAAGTTTAGCTTATGGCATACAGTATTTGGATTACTGCTTTAGTACTTTTATCTATCTATAGTGTCAACTGTTTTTTTTTTTTTTTTTGGCATTTTGCTCTAGCCTCCAGCGGCATTTAAAGAAAGATTAATCTTTTATTGATGCCATTGCTGATTGCTGTATATGAGGCATAATTAGGATTTCATCATTAACAGAAATTGATTAGGAAAATCCTCTTATCAAATGTACAATTTAGGAGTCTATCGATCCAACCAAGTCTGTATGTCTTGCATTAGCACCTCGAACCGTCAAAGAAGTGCCAGCAGGTTTGGATTTATTAAAATAGAATGACTGCAAGACTTTCTTGATGTAGTGAGAAATGTATAACCATTTTGCTCTTCTTTTCCTTTGAATCTTCATCCATGATATATTCTTTTCAACTCCTAAATTGTTCATCACAAACCATTCTTCAAAAGATCCATTAGGTTATCTTTTACGGCATTAACATCACTAAACACTTCTTCTATGGGTTGTACAAGGGATTCCTCATGTCTATTCTTTTCGATGCCACCTTGTTGTCACACATTTATCACAACTCTATAAAATTCATGTTTCAAACTCCACCTTCCAGCTAACACCCAGATTATTCCCTACAACACTTGTACCATCTCTTTTGTGGTTATACCTAACAGATTCAAAGGTTATATCTCGGTTAATAACGAGTTTTGGATCTTTGCTTATTCTAAACACCACAGACGATGATCTTTCTCTCCAGATGCATATCTTAGAAATAAATATACACTTCCTTGCTCTCAAATCTAATTTACGATCAATGTTGTAAAAAATTTGATATAATAATTAATGATAATTATAAAATCAGCAATTTATTAACTAGCATGTATTGTCCTCTGAAAACTTTTGAAAATTTAAAAATAAGACCGTGAATTCACCTTTGAAGCATGCTTTGTGAGAGCTTGGGGCTGCGGTTGGTGGCATCGGAGGCTTGAGATTAACCAGACGTGAGGGAAAGTTTAAACATAATAACTAAAATATATGTAAAGACATTTCTTAAAATTTAGAAGTAAATTTTAAAGGAAAATGGAAGAGAAGAGGAGGATTTGGTGTGAAAAATGAATAAGGTTTGGAGATAATTCATAAGAAGAAAAAGGACCATGTGTGT